CCGATGGGAATCGGTCGGTCCTCGGGACATCGACTGTACATTTCTGTACGAAATACGAAAGAAGTTCGATGTCAGAAAGAGACTCCTATGGAGCCGCATCGCAGAAAACGCCACCGAAGTGAAAGCAGTTGGAAAAAGCGTGATCGTCAGGGATCTATGCATTTCTTATGTGTAAGCGATTGTTGTCGCACTTTGCAAGGGTCTCTGGAGAGAAGAGATGGAATGAAGTTGGATCGCGCTTTTCACGGCGAGATCTCATCATCCGGGCCCTATTCTGGTGCAATCTTTATGAAAGGAATCGCAGCAGCCGGAGCATGCTTCCCTCTCATTCAGTGGACAGTATCAAGGACAGTTCCACTCTAGACCCCGAGCAATCGACAACATCCCATGAGGGCAGCATACCATCTCCACATCAGGCTGTTGATTTTGTTTTGCAAACTTCGGCAGGACTTACACCTTGTTTCCGAACTACACTTAGGTGCTTGCCCACCGATTTGTGGCAAAATCCCCTCATGCTGGAGTCGTATCGTCCCTTTGGCCGAGGAACGATGGCACAGACGAGGACACTCGAAGCATCGAGACCCCGAACACCAAGAGGGAAAGAATCAAAGGTGGGCTGCAGTGCAGTCACGGGGCGGTCGCCGGCTTATCAGCAAGACTCTGCAAGGTGAGAACCTGAAGCTCTGTGTGAAGCTCAGCCGGTTGCAGAACGTTGGTGTCCAGCTCCCTTGCAGAAAGCCGGCTGAGGCGGCTCCATTACAGAGTTCTTCCTGTTCCTGTTGACGTTCTCCTTGGCGATGTTTCTGAATCAGCTCCGGCCCATGGGGCAACAGCCAAACGCACGGTGAGTTTCAGAGTTGCTGCTTCTTTTCCTCTTGAGGTCCGTGGCCACTTCTCGCCTCAGCGACCACATTCGCCTGGACCGTCGCTGTAGGGAGACGTGACAGGGCGATGGGAGCTAGCAGAGTCCATCTCGGCGGAACGTTTTTGGGTGAACGCCAGATGCATGTCGGAGTACAGCTTTTGGAAGATAGGCGTCTGCCGGAGCCTGCTCATACTTAGCTGGAAGTTGAACTTGTCAATCAAAGACGAACTTGCAACTTGCAGAGAAGGAGGTGCACCAGGCTAATAATTACCCGTCCGGTAGCTTGTGTGTGCAACTTGCGACCATTGCAGCAGCATGGGTTCCTGCATCTCGCCGCAGAAATTGAACCCCACGCATCATCCGATCACACGGATTACTGACGTGGACACGCTCTACGCGTATCTGGAGGATGCACGGCCCTCAACTCCAGCATGAAGGCTATGTAGTTCTTCGGGGTGCTACGAGATGCGAGAAAGACATTGAACAGGTGTTTGTTCCGGCGCTCTACAAGAACAGCACCGACATTCAGCTTGCGGAAAGTATTTCACCGTCTGGGTCTCGAACCTCCTTGCTCACGAGCCGAGAACAGGCAAGGCCATTTTCCCAAATCTAAGGCACCTGAAGCCCATCGACATCGCCAACCGCATGCTGGGCACGGTTCGACTGCGTCAGGCATCGCCCGCCTCACGGCCCCTCCCGGCCAAAGAGAAATGAGTGCCATAAACTTGTATGTGTAGCTATCCAATCTTCTCGCCGCAGACTTTGGGGCAGCTTCATGTCTACGGCAAGTTTGGTGTTCGCAAGGTGCGCGTGAATCTTGAGCAGAACTGTCAGGCGCGTGTCACTTTCGTATGCCAGTAGAGTCACAGGTCTCGATACGGAAGCACGATCCAACTTTGGCGAGGGTCCTGAGGGAACTTCTCAGGCTTAAGTTGTCCAAGTCTTGGCAAGGCAAAGGTTGGTTTATATTCTCCAGTGGTGGCGGCAGGTGCTCCCATTGTTTGAACAGTATAGCGTGCGGAGCTCAGATACTTTCATATCTATTCATATGACAGCAACCATATGCTACCAACTGCCAGAGCTTGTGCCTTCATGGCGTGTGATCGGGGAGTCGGGGCGCATGCCTTAGGTCAGCTGCTATCCCAACTATAGCCCAGGCTCAGTGCTCGAAGCACTGCGGGAGATGAGAAGCCAAAGCGAAGCACCCTTCACCTTGACAGGGACTGCGAGCACGACTGCCTACGGTCCTCAAGAGAGGCGCAAAGCAGCAAAGCCTTCAGCTCGCTGGAGCTCGGGCCAAATTCTCTTGTCTTCTGATGTCCCATGGCCCAGTATGGAATCGCTGCAACGCAAGCTTCTGGACAGGTTTACATTCTCAGAAGACACGGTGGGCATTCCCTACACCGGCGCACTCGGTTCGTGCGCAGATCAGATCAGACCTTGAGCAACAGACGCACCGTGGGCTCAGCAGCTGGCAGTTGAGTTCCGAGGTACTCGGCAGACGGCTTCATGCAGCTGCTAGCTTCCAACATGAGTCAGGCCTTGTCGGTGGGAGAAGCTTGGATACTGCGATCGACGCGCTCTTGTAGGCCATGCAGCAAATCCAGCAGCTCAAAGTCGACGTCCGGAGTCCCGGAGTCCAGAAGTGTCCCCATGAATAGTTGAGGCTTCTAACTTGCAGTCCGAGAGCTTCATGTCTAGCGGCAAAGCCATGGGAGTCGATGCTGGATTGCGCTTGAGATGGATTTGCAAGCAATGGTGTTGAACTGCGCTTTTTCGAGGGCTATATGGATGCAGCCACACGTGCATTCTTCGCGGAGCTCAACATCTGGAATTCCAACATCGGTTTGCTTGGACCTTGGATTCGTCGAGTTCCGCCATCGAAGCTTTCATCTGGCGGCTTTGCTGAGGTACGCCGTTGTCACCTTCGTGGTGGAGTTTGGTGCAAGTGGCGGGACCGCTCAGGAGGCAATTCTGAAAGGTTGAGCCTTTTTTTCGCTTCAAATTTCCGAGAGAAGTCTTCGTTGAGCTTCATGCGCTCGGCAGATTGTGATCTCCACCATGACCGAGCGTGTGCTGGCCCGAACCTGAGAGGGAAAAGTCCTGGGCTCCTGGGCTCTCTACCAAAGCTTGGGAGAAGGAGCCTGGCGTTGCACGCGCGCGTGCCTGTGCACGTGCACCCAAGCGTACCTGCCCGCAAATCAAGAACGATGGCAGGTCTTCGTGGTTTGAGCGGGTCTTGATCCATGTTAGCTGATTCTGCTTAAACTCAAAATCCTCGCCTTTGGGCTTCACTTCTAGTCTCAAGCCAGCTAAGAAGGAGGACAAGGAGGAATGAGGAATGGATCGATAAGTCCGAACGGCTGTGAGCCGGAGCCGTTTCTTGGGAATTTCACAGAGCCAGTTCTCTGCTTGCAGACCGTGGGCGGCCTCGGCACAGCGCTGGACTGGCGCCTCGGAAGCGCCAGGAGGAGTTCTTGGGGCTCTTTTTCAAAGTATCGGAGTGTTATCGGGTTTCGGGAGAAGGGTGGCAATGTCCATGTCACTCACTCCTGCTGACTAAACTTGCCATGTAATGTTGCTGTGCCGAAGAACTTCAGAATCGCATGCGCGCATTGAGGTTGGCTTTTGTGCTTCTGATTCTCGTCATGATATTTGTGGTGCAGTTCATCTTCGAGGCGCGGCTCTGGCAATGAGTGCGCACTGGACCCATGCGGACAAGAAACTGGCTCGCGATCCTGCAGGAAGTTCAGGAGCTGTACAGCAGCTGGCGTACCTACTTCTTTGTCAGCATCCCAGGCTCAGGGAGCCGGCTGAGGGACTGTCAACCAAGTCACCCATGCGTGGGTCAGTTACATCGGGCAGAACTGTGTCAGAGCGAGTTGCCGAGGATGCATGGAATCTCCTCGACTGGGTGTGCCTCTGAGTTTGCGTGCACATGTCTGCATTGCAGGCCATAGCTCAGCAGTGATCACAACCTCGACGCAAAGCTTCGAGCATGAACTCCTCCGTCTCCTGCAAGCCGTGCGAAGCAGCAGCATCATGGCGATGCAGACGAAGCTTTGCTAGAACCCCTTTCTCCTCCACACCAATTGGGCATTATGCATGATTCTGCATGATGCTAACAACTCCTTTGTTCTTTCACTCCAGGCGAACATGGTCCTGCTGCTCATCGGATTCACCTTGCGCATGCTGCTCTTCTCCGACGTTGCGCCGGCATGTTCGGGCTGTTAGGTTTCTGATTTTTTTTTGCCGCTTGACAGCCCGAAGGCTCTTTCGAGCGAGACTTGGCCTTGTGTTGGGTAGAGAATCGTATTCTCGGGGCATCGCCGGGTGGTGGGTTTGATGAATAGAGATCCTGTGCTACGCATCCCGAACCTGCACGACGCTCCGAGCAATTAACGTGTTTTCAAGCATCCAAAGCTTCTGCTTGAAAGGTACGGTCAGCACACCTGTTTTTGAGACACACTGGTGACATAAGCCTCTTCTTCGAGCAGCAGTACCAACAGACTTGCTGGAACTCTTGAATGTTGCCTACATCCTGAAGAGAGGCAGCCAATGCCAACGTGGGGCTCGAGCAGCTCTCCAACGTTGCCCAAGACTCAGTTACACTATTCCGGTTTTTCGGGAATGTGAGCTCTTTGCGACGTGGTGTAACACTTGTGTGCGCAGCAACAAGCAACCGGAAATGCCTAGAGCACTCCGGCTCGATGCCCTCTCCCGACCCCAATTGGAGAAGCAAAACTTCGTGCAACACTCAGAAAAGGCCTCGGGACTGTGCTGTTTGGCACCGCTCGAGCCCAGCGGCTTGTCCAATCCAAGGATTCCTTTCAGAATATCTCAGCCCTGGCCAGCGCGGCCACGACAGCCTGCTGCCCAGAACGGTTGCTCAGAATGGAAAGCAGTGGAGCATGGGCCCTTTGCTGAGGTTCGCGTTCTCAACGCCTTCAATTGCGCAGGGGGCCCGATCCGACTTGGCAAGATCCATGCTGGCATAGTGACTTGAGAGAGACCCTCGCAGCAGCTGTGACATCTGTGAAGACGGTTCTGCAGGTTCTTCTTTGGGGCAAGGTGACCAAGTACTTGCGGCATCTGCCGTTGGTGAAGGAGAGAGCTTTGATGTGGCGTTGGTGATGCTTGACGCTCTGAATGGTTCGTGGAACATTGGGGTCGCTTGGATCTCCGAGCTGTGCATGATGGGACATCATCCCTTGACAGCCAAAACACAGGTGTTTTAACGCCACATGCAGAAGCCGAAAGCGTGTAGGAGTTGTTGTAGAAAATGTTGGAAGCGAATTGCGGGAGATTGACGGGGGAGCTGCAGACACAGGGCCTTGCATAAAGCTGCCAGTAGAGGAATCCTTAGTCACTCGTGTCTTGCAGAATCTGATCCGAACGGTGTGGACAGCTTTCGATTTGTCCCAGCCCCGGCATTAAGTTCATTACCGTGTCGACTGCATCGAAAGCTCTCGGCTTCGTGAAGGTTTCTGCCGTTCCTGATCATGTTTGGGGTCGCTCTGGTCGGCTTCGTCATGGCCTTCAACGTAGGCGAAAGAGATCCGAAGCGCATCGCCTTCCCAGCGGCCACGGCGCTGTGTTGCACCTGCAAGGCTTTGGGGACAAGGTTGCCGAACTGGCCAACTTCACGACCTCGGCAGTGTACCTGCTGGAGGCTGAGGAAGGCCCCAGGACTCCATAGCCGTTCCGAAGTCCCTAGGACCGAAAAAGGCCACTCTTGCAGCAGTTAAGGTGCAGGGCCTTCCTGAAGGACGTGCAGCTCATGCCTGTGTGGCTTGAATGGAACACCTTTCTTGTGTAGTAGTCAGGCAGCTCGTGCGTTGGAGATGTTCCGGCGCAGCAGACGATAATCCTGCGACAAACGCAATCACAGCGCAAGATCCGTTGAAGCAAAAGCTCAGTTAATTGACAGAGTCTCTCCGCATCGCAATTTTGCAGCAGTGGGGACACCTTGTGAGCCGTTAACTAACCAGGACTGAGATGTTGAGAGACAGATGTGAAAACGGTTCCAGAACCTCGCTAGGTATGCCATCACGCCTTTGTTCGGCGCCGGCTTGATCTTGCTTTTCTACCTTAACATGATCGCCGTCGCTGCCTCGTTTTGACTCTTGTGTGTAAGCAAGAGCAAGCTTTTTGCCTTCGTTGCCTTATGGCTGTGGCTCAAGCTTGTTGGCTTTCGTCGATCCAATTGAAGCTCTTCGGCCACAGGCATAGGCACCATCCCATCTCTATGCAGGACCTGAAAGCAACTGCTTGCTATCGGTGCCCCAGTCTTCCAGTACTCAGTACTCTTCACGTGCAGGATGTGTAGATCAATACAGGAAGACGGCTTCGTATGAGCCCAGCGCTAGTTTGCTGATGACGATGCCAAATCTATGGCTGCGCAGCTTCACCGCAGATTGGGTCCTGCGATGTAAAGAGTGCTACTGATTGCCAGCTGGTGTACACGACTGGCCCTGTGAGCATACTTCAAGCACACTGTCACAGGGTTGCTGTAAACGTATTGCTTCACCACATGCCTCGTGAGGTCTTTGACAACTGTTGCACCCCATGTTCTGGTGGAAATCCTCTCCTACATCACGCACGACTCACGTCGGCTGAAGACCTTTGGCACCCTGGCTTCCGGCCGTCGTTTAGCGGTCTCAGCAGATGCGACTTGCCTCCAGTGCACTTTGACGCGACGGTTTTGATTGACTAGGTGTGGTGTGCAAAGCTCTCACCGCAACTCTGGACGAGGTTTGCTTCTCAGTTGTGAAGGGCAGACTTGCCACACAACGCATCGTGCTGCGCTCGTGCAGGAGAGCGCCTGGTGGCATCTTTGCCAGCGGTTTCTCGACTCGGACAGGGCCGGAGGGCCCATATTTAGAATCCTCCGTCTGCCAAGTCTTCCCAAGGTATTGGTATGCTACTGACGACAGGCTGAAGGAGTGGCCGAAGCTCTCAGCACGAGGACCGTTTGGTTGTACTTGCTGTTGATCCTGTGGGGGATTCGTACATCACAACACTTTGCCAATTTTGCCATCCTGGTGCTCCGAAACTCGCCCTCACGCTGTGTGTCCTAGTATGCCAGAGCCAGCTCATGTCAATCCTGTTGTTACCCTCGACCGTCAGGCTTGTACCGAGCTTTGGAGCAATGGATGCCATTGGAAGGCGGGGGATTGCAACCTGTTGCTCATGTGCAGCCTCGCGTTTGAACCGTCGTTGGCAGGTTTCTATGTTTTGGCAGGCGCCTTCCCCTGGGGCCTCATAGCACTGCTGCGCAACCCGGCTTGATTGTCGTCCGACTCCAGGTGGCGGGGAGGCCGGGGTCGCATCCCACAGAAAAGGGGGCGAGGATTAAGGAGCTGACCGAGGGGCCGAGGTGAACTTCCGGGTGTTTGGCTGGTGCCATCAAAGGAATTTACGGTGCCATGAACTTCCATGAACGGGCGGCCTAGTCCCTAATGCGGAGAGAGACAATCAAGTAGCTTGTTCAGCGATGGTGACTTTCTGCGAGTCAAGATGAGAGAGGGATGGAAGTAGAAACGGAAGGATATGAGTTTTGACGGATGGATGGGCACGGCCAGCGGCAAGGCATCGTCGAGGGCCGTTTGTGCGGCTACATCGTGCGCTTCATGCCCAAAGACGACGGAGAGTTCGCAGAAGTCCAGGTGCAGCGGCAGCCACTCCAGCCTTCATGCCGGCCTTTATGCGAGAATCAGAATCTTTCTCTTCGTGCGCTGATTTGCGCAGTTTGGGCGTAGGATTGCTGTCCCTGGTCGCGTGGTCTGAAAGCACAAAGTCAAGAGCGACCCGGTGCGCTGATGATTTTTGCTGGTGCATGTGACGGCCCTGGGCATGGCGGGGCTGAGTGGCCGCGGCCTTTGTCTGAGCCAAGACTCCGAGCAGAGCGTAAGTGCAAAGCTACGTTCACGCCCAAGCTGAGACTTCCATTGTTGCTCCTGCCAGGTGCCATTGTTTGAAGTTGCTTGGCTACAGCTGTTGCAGTTTGTTTCTTGTCATGCCAGTGATTAGTTTCTCATGACGATCCTGTGACAGATGATGTTTGCAAACCCTCGTGCTCTGTGCGAAGGTGTCAATCGTGGAAGACAGGCCTGGGATTATCAGGACCGCCGATTGCAGCTCAAAAGCTGTATTGTTGCTTGCCTGCAGATTGCCGATAGAGTGGAGAGAGAAAACCCTTGGCCTTTGGAGATAGCGGCAGGAGCTCTTTGACGGCATCTTGGCTGTCTGGCGCGGCTAATCTGGCACCTGTGGAAGTGGAGGACATCTTGGCCTACACGCAGGACGGGGGATTTGGCCCAGATTCCAAAAAAGACCGCATGTGACAGCCTGGGCCTCTGCTCGAGGAATCTGGGATCTTCTTCTCTCGGCGCCTCAGCGAGGTCCCTCATAGAGTCTTAGTAGTAAAAGCCGCCTGGGTGAGATTGGGAAAGCCACTCAAAGCACATCAACACCATTCGGTCCACATAAGGCCGCGCTGTTTACTCCTCGTCGGGCGCTGCGTCTAGCAAGCGAGGTCAGCGGTCTGCTTATCCAGTCAAGCTGCGATCTGTTTCGGCTTTTCGAGATGCTTTCGGAATGGGCCCCTTTTCGGCAGCAGTTCGCTTGTGTTTCGTTTGACGTTTCGGTTCCAGCCAGGAAGGCACGGCTTCGATCCAACTGCCTTCCCTCCATCCACCAACACCTTCCCTCACCATCCGCCAGAACTTCTCAAACCCGACAAGCCAAATACAGCAAGAAACCTCAAGTCTATCATGCCTTACTCGACCCGGTAACATGCTGAAGCCCTGAAGGCTTTAAAGCTAGAAGACATGAGGTGATGGGACTGGATTGGGGAGGAAGTCTGGACTGGCTCAGCGGTTCGCACTTGTTCAGGTTCGTGTGGCTAGGCGGCTGGGCTCGTGTGACAGGCCTCGGCACATCATCAAACACCTGAAAAGCCTGCCACGACCGTGGCCGGCGATGGCTCAGGCCCATTCGGGTAAAGCTTGAGATCATTCGCTTAGGAATGGGCAACCAGGAGCCTCACGTTCTCGTACTGCCAGGCTACGCAGCGCACACCGTTCAGATGCCGCTGAATCCCCCAAGTCTACCAGATGATAGCGAGGAGGACGGTTCTCGCCGGAGCCTGCGGTACTTGTAGTCGCACTGCAATGTGTGCCATGTTGGGACAGGGCACGTCGCGATCAAGCTGTGCGCAATGTGCTTGCTGTCCAAGCTTTGACTTTACTACTTTTGACCGTACCTGGGTGCTCAACAGGACCGGGACTCTGACGATGACGTGGGAGACCTGGTTTCTTAGTTTCTAAAGTGGAGTAGGCCACTGCGGAGCGTGCTGGAGTGGGACTTCAGGCGCGGCCAGCGGTCTGCAGCAGCTTCTTGTCCAAACTAAGAGAGCCTCGCTGGGAAGAGGGAGCCTAAGGCCGCTCCTCAGTGTGCTCAGGTGCGTCTTGGAGGGTTGGCGAGCTGGACAAGTCGGAGGACTTGCCTTAGCTCAGATCCCAGCAGCAAAAAACCCGACAATGCGAGACGTACACGTCTCAGAGTATTTGGCACAGCGGGGGCACCATCTTCGAAAAGCTGACAAGCCAAGATGCTCTGCAAGACGACCATGAAACGAAGCGAACACACGCTGCAAAATCAAGCGGTACTTCTTGAAGTCAGTTGCCAATCTGTAGATTGCAGCGGTGGATGTGAGTTCTGTCTTTTTCCTCCGACAGAGGGACTGCTGTGAACTCTCCACACGCGGCATGCACTGGGCATAGCTCGACAGTGAAGACAATAGCTCAACAACAGATAGCGCAGTTGCGCGCCAATGCTGCGCGACACCTCATCAGCTCTGCCTGCCTGTCAATTTCGAAGTGACAATCCAGTCAACGGCCAAACTACATCTCTTGCAGAAGGAGTCGCTTCTCCATCGCACGCAGGCCGGGGAAGCATTTAGTCGCTGATGAGTTGCACTGGCTAGTACCTGCCGCATTGAGATCCTAAACAAATGCAGCACACCAACCGTGCCTCCAGAGACACTTGCGCAGGAAATGCTTCGGGACATGCTCGGACAGCCACTTCGTAGTACATCGGACCAGCCTGTGCGTGTCATGCCCTTGCCTGTCGCGATGATGCTCCCTTCGTCTTCTTGCAATTTCAAACATGAGTTACTGTTGGCTCTCGCCACCTCCAACACCCTGTGTCAATTTTTCAGCGCACCCAGGTTTCCATGCGACTTGGCCCTCATCCGCAGCCCGGACGAGTCTCGTGTCACATCTTGCCACCACACTGACACGTTGACATGCACAGCCGTTCAAGCACGTCGGCTTTGGCAACACTGAGGTTTGTGCCTTTGGATCCTTCTGTGCCCGGACTGAGACCTGGCCTCTATGTGGGGGATTATGGGCATCGCTTCTACGGCTGCTTGGCGAGCACTGGCGAGTGGCTTCGGAGACGAAAGGCTCCCTCGAAGAGCAAACGCTGTTGAGGTCAGTTTCGCACCGAAGTGCTGTTCCTTGACTACATTGTCGTTGGAACCGTGTTTTTGCTTTTCTCCGTGTTGCCCACAGGCTCCTGGACTACATGCACCTAACAGCAGACGAACTCCGAGAAGAGGTTCAGGCTCGTGCCATGCCTAAATTGGGCAGAGATCTGGTCTCCAGTCCGGCTGAAACTCGCAAGATTTCACAGGGGCCCGGCATGCTTGAACTGCTTGCATCTTCCTGTGCTGCCACCCGGAAGATGCCACGGCGGCTCTTCATGCGCCCACGCGGCGAGATGCCTCCTGCAGAGCTGGCCGCGCTCGCGGAGTTGGACATGCCGTGGCTTGACACCAACTATATACTGTTGATGATGAAAATCCCAGAGTTAACTATTGGAATTATGGTATATTCCTTATTATGGGTAATGCAGGATTTATATCATCAACCGTAGAACAAGCACCAACTAGAACAGCGGCAGAGCCATTCGCCGCAGACAAGATGATCGCGCTTGTGCTGCTTGGCCGCGCCTTTCGCCGCCCTGGAATGTATTGCAGTTTACACAGGCAGTGGGTTGCGGGCACGAGAGACCGGCGGACTCTACACAAAACACCGAGGACCGAGGACGATATTGCTGCTATGTACTGTACGATGATGATGATGATGATGATGATGCGTCAGGGTGCGGGTGCGTTCGGTCTGGGGCGTTGCCTCCTAATTACAGATTTTGCTGAAGCTTTTGTGCTATCGCCCCTTCTCTTAGGCGGGTGGAAATGGTGCCGTTGATCCTTCGCTTCATTTCCAGGCTTCCTCTGCCGGCAGTCTTTTCGATGTTTCGGGTCCTCGAGTGTTCATGCCGGTCACCATCGTGGAGTCGCCGGAGATTATGATCATCAGCATCTGAATCTTGCGTAGGAAATCTGAAAGCGCTTCGGCGGTGCTGTTCCGCCCCCGCCTGGCAGCGTCGCTCGAGAGAAAAGGTTTTGTCAGAAGATCCTTTTCGTAGAGCTCCCGCGCATTTCTCAACTTTGCCAATCCTTCCGCAGTGGCGAAAGGCGAAAGGCGTGGTCTCCTTGCTTTCATCCTCCGTGCTTCGCATGTTGATGCATCCGAGGGGGACCGCGACATGAAAGCCCGAAGCCACGTAAAGAGAGACACATCCAATCCTGATTGTAGCCACTAGCTCCTCAGTCGTGTGTCGCATTTACATGACTTTTGGGGATTCTGTCCCGGCCGTGAACTACCGAATTCGGGTTGTTGTCGACTGCTGCCATGGACATGCACAGCCAGAGTTTCGAGGGGCTACATCTACGTTTTTGCACAACAGCGGTTTGAAGCTCAGGATTGACTTCATGCGCGGCGTCAAGCAATGTGGCGCGCCTCGTTCTACATGTAAGCTACATCTTTCGAATACTGCTAGAATAGACTGAAAAGACAGCTTAGGCTCCCCAGCACTTCCGCTATCGCATTCTTTCTCCCTCTCCCTCTCTCTGCCCTTCGGTTTCTGTGATGCGTGTTTGTCGAGGACGTGCATGTACCTCTTGGTGCGACCACCTTCGTGGCAGTGTGCTCTCCGCCACAGGTGCCTCGCGGAATCTTGAAGTGCATAAGCTGAACCGAGCACCTGATGGCCAGTGTTGCATTCGTGCAATGATAGGCTGTGGCAGTGCTGGCTGCGGGAGTGCAACCCCCCGCACGAGTTCTGGATCGGCAGACCCCAAGCTGCACTTCGAGAGGCTCATGGTTCTACTCGATTGCTCTTGCATGAGTGCCTCTGACCCTGGCTTGACCCCTGTCCGATGCCAAGGACCGGACAGTCGGCCGTGGTTGCGCGGTCCTGGCGGGGCTTTGGCACGTTGGCCATGCCAGGCCCATGGCAGATTTCAACGTGTGTGTGAGGAAGCATGGAGTCACGTTGACACAGTTCGAGGGTACCCTATTCGCAAGTCGTGTCAGAGCCATGTTGGTGTCGTGGAACCTTTTCAAAGCCTGTCTCAAGTCGCGCACCCACGCAGTTTCGAAACTGCGATGACGAGACCAGTGGTGACCAGCAGAATGACCATGGGGCACGCTCGAAGTCACTCATTGCATGTGCACCCGGGGAGGCTTTCAACATCCGAGCTGGGCACAGGGTTGGCTGGTTCAGCTCCAGGCTGCAGGAGCACATCGCTGCCTGGCCAAGATCTAAACTCACAGGGCACTTTAAGCCAACCAGCGGCCCATGGAACGACACATCAATCACTTCCCCATTTTTGTTTGCTTGGGACATGGCCGAGGATTTGGCTTTGTTTGGGACCAGAACCAGGATGCAGTTGTGCTCAAATGGACGCTTGGACGAACCGAGTCGTTCTGCCTCGCTTGTCGCCCCCAAAGTTGCGGTTAAGACAACCCTTTCGGCCCACTTTCCTGCTTGTAAGAAGATGTTGCCGCAAAGATCCAGTCGCGCAGACTCTCCCAGGCTGGTCCTCCAGGACACGTGCCCTTTTCTGCAAAGAAGCTGGCTTCCTGCAGACATCCGTTAAAAAGTCTCGCTGCAGCTGTTGTCGTTGTCGCGAAAGAGCAGGAAGGGAAACCGCCTGATGAGCCAACTCCAACAGTTTCAAGGTCGGGCTCGCTTTGATGTTCGCGATGATGGCAGACGCGCTCACTCCTCAGCTCATATCGCTGCAAAAGTGAAGCGCCCTTGTGAGATCTCCTGTCTGCGCGTTCGCCCAGGCTGTTCATCGCAAAATACAGCAAGGATGTCGGGCTTGATTTCGGGCAAAGGCATTGGATGGGCGTAGCCAACTTACCCAATTCCTCGCGGGGCCTGCACGTGGAAGAGCTGGAATTCAGAGCTTTGAAAGATTCGCCATCTCGCCTTTGATGGCTCTTGATAGCCAAGCCCCCCCAGACCGCATCAGTGATCAGGAGCGGGAAGCCCGGAATGCTGAACAGGCATACTGGAATGAGGACAGCCTGAGTGTTTAAGGACGTCGGACCATATGCCATGGAAGCTGGGTTGTCTGTTCAGAGGGCCTTGACAACATCGGCGTTTGGGGTTCAAGAGACGAAGAGAAGGCTGCAAGTTGATAAGAAGCCTTGTGCAAAGAATCGCAGCAGTCGTCAACTTCGCGCAGTTGTTGCGCGCAGGACGAGCCCCTCGAGGAGGTTTATCGGAGGGTCAGCGGCTTCATCCAGAGGTGCAAGCTTCCCGCACTCCGCAACGCCATGAGCGTCCAGCAAGAGAGAATGGTCACGAAAAGAGGGAGCGGCAGCAGCACGAGTCGGCCCAAGAAGGGTTGCGGAGAATTCGCGCAGTAATTGTGAGAACAGTGCCGGCTCTGAGTGCCAGTCCCTTCCTTACCTCTACTCTAGCTGGTGGCGGGCTACCAAACCACGCCGCGCTCGCTTGAGGAGAGTCTAATGCCCTGGAGAGAGTGAGTGAGTGAAAGAAGCAGTTGGCGGAGCAGAGCAGTTGAATGTTCCCTGCAGGCATCAACCACTCTAACTTTGTACCCTAAGAATCCCCCAGGGGTAGGTGATCACTTGCACGGAAGAAAACGGAAGATACCTGCGCGCATTTCAGATGGGTATCCCTTGAAAGATGCACCAACGCAGAAATCAATGAAGACGGCAAGCATAGTTACATGATGTTACTTACACGTACCGCAGTGTTCCGAACAGAAGACGTCTCGGCATCATGCTTGCCGCAGAATCATGATCCGCTTCTTCCCCATGATCTACGTCAGATACCGGAAGATGACCGAAAGGCTAGCTGCGCTTCCATTTCGTGCTCGCGCAGGCTGCTGCGATGTAAATACACGCGAGGTTGTCGACGCCCGATGACGATGCGGGCTCTGACACCTCCAGCAAGGCAAAGCTGAGCAAAGCCGAGCGCAAGGGCTCTGCGAAGCTCCTCTGAGGGAAGGCGCAAGCAGGCGGCCCTGGAGGACAAGAACGAGCGCGGAAGCGCTGGGCACGCTGTGCCAGATGCGGGCAGTCGAGGCCCGACTGAGCAGGATCGTATTGGACTGGAGCGCCAGGGGTGGCAAGAAATCGACAGATGATGATCTTCAGTCCCTCGCTCAGTCTGAGAAGTGGTCGCTCTTGGACTGCTGTTGTGCGATGCTCCGCCTGGCAGTTCGAGCCACTCCGGCTTCAGCCACGACAGCAGCGAAGGGCCGCTGAAGCCTGGGGCAGAGGACGGTCACGAGCACGCTAGGCCTGTTAAGAGCGGGAGAGACCGTGCAGCGCAGGAGCTCAAGCGAGCCATTGAGCACATGCAAAGGCCTCAGCTCCAAAGTGGAAAGTAGAAAGTACTGGTGCTCGGCGCTTTTTTGGGGTAGGAGCAGCAGAAACAGGTGCTCGGCTCTGGACCTTAGGATGGAGAGGGGGGACCCCTGGAAGCGCAAGCAGGGGCCGGCTGAGCCTGCAGGGAGTGCCAAGGGAGTGCAACGAGATGTCGAGGAGAGAGAGCACCAAAAGAGCACCCCAAAACACGCACGCGACGCCGCGTGTCTTTGTGGATATGTGTATGCTATCTACGTGTGTGCGTGCGTGTACAGCAAGTGCTTACCAGCAACGCCCACGCCGCAAAACGAACAATGACCATGAGCATCTCCCAGAGCTTCACGTCAGATGCCATCGCAAGGTCCGGACGGATTCTGTCGGAGCTCACCTTGGTGGGAATTGAGGTCAAGCCTGGAGCTCATTGGATGCTCGTTGCATCCGCGCAGCGCCCTTCTGGGTCACTTCCAAGTCCCAGGTCCGAGCTGCACGATGTGACCGAGCGAATTGCAGCATCCCCAGCCTCTAGAAATGATTTGATCGCAGCCTAAATGGGGCCACTTACAGTTACAGCCAGGCTCAGATGCAGATGGCTGTCGAAGAGCTCGCCTGGAGAATGGACAAGGCGCGGGAGCTGCACGTGCTGTTGTACTGCAAAGTCCCCTCGATTCTTCCGATGCTTGAGAGCTTGGGCTGGTAATTAATGGGGTTCTGACTTCAGAGAGCCCAGCCGAACCAAGCCTAGAAAACAGCTCAGAAGCTGAAAGCCTAGCTGCCCTACTGTCGCAGACTGACAGAAGAAAAGCTGACTGCTGACTTTTCGTTCTGACAGGTGCGAAGTGATCAAGATCAAGAAATGGCTGATCCAGAAGATGCCATGTGATCGGTAGAAAGTTCTTGTGGAAGTGCTCAATTACGCAAGGGGAGGCTTGTCATGCAAAGTCCTAGCAGCACTCATAGGTTGCCATGATAATCTCTGCAAGCAAACACACAGCCCGGAGGGCTGCATGTGTCAAGCTCGCTCGGCTGCAGCTGAAGCAAGCGGTCCAGCTTTTCTGGGGGTTAGGCTTTTTGGTTGAGAACCTCTTGGCTTGACTTTGGCTGGAAGCCTCCAATTAATGAGTTGGCCAGACATGCTTCACTTGCAGCGGCGCAGTGTCACTCGCTTCCAGAAACCTGCGAGCGGAGAATTCGCAAAAAGCCTTCAGGCTCCCGGGTTATTTGCGGATAAGCTACGCTCGTCGAACCCTTTCGTGCTGCTCACCTGCTCCTCACGTCTGCGCTGGCCCAGGTTTGATAGTAGGCTTATGCCAGATTATGTGAACAGGCAGACAGCAATATGCGATATCCACAAGTCGTGTCAAATTAAGCGAAGCATGTGCGGAGTTTTTGAAGTTTGACTACAACACCGCATTCCTGATGACGACGAAAACAGGGTCCACGGAGCTGCGGCACCTCGTGGACGGGTGCTTGGGACGGCAAGTTTGGCGTGCACAAGAGCAGAGTCGATCTTGTACGTATTGAAACGCAATGCAGTTCATTGGAGAGAAATCCTATTCGGTAGCTTAGTCATGCTGAGCTCCTACCTTTTCTCTGCACATTCAGGCCGCCGTTCCCATTGGCTGCTGCAGGCCGGGACAACAGCTGGGGCATTTTGCAGTGGGCAGCAAGGCATATCTTCAGAGCCTAGGCTTGAGTTCCTTGAACCGATGCGTTCGTCGTAGCTTGTGCTGCCAGGCGCTCTGCTGCAGCTAGGAACTGTTCACTACGTCTGGTCGCTTGGCAGTGGTTCTTAGTAGTTGAGTGAACTAGCACTTCGTGGCAAATCTGCGGCCGAGTCTTGCAGAGGTTTCTCTCTCAGCTTAAGGTACGCGTTTACATCGGCACATGACTGCCTTGCGGATCCAATCAGCTGCCTGGCACGGCCCTGGGATGCAGATCCATTCGGCCGGACCGTGGTAGCTTTCTTGCATGGTTCAGGAGCGAGGTCTTTTGTTCAAGGTTCTTCTGAGTGCAGTTTTCTCACGCTCCTGCACGCGGCATCCTGCCCAGGTCTTTGTGGACGCATTTGCGCCTGGGCATCACACTTTGAAAATGCCCCGGTTGTGAAGTTGTTTATGCAGATCCATAGACTCTATAGATGCACTTTCACTTTCACTGCAGTGTCCAAAGAATTCCACCAGCCCAGACAACAGAACTTGTGCCCACACAGGACTCCAGAAAGTGGCCAAATTGACTGAGCACCGCTTACAGGGCCTACAGGTTCTGGCAGTTGTGCTTCGAAGGCGGAACCCAGCTTCAGATGGAAATCGTAAGCTCGTTTGCGAGACCGCCATGGTCATCCATGCTGTCTCAGAAATCTCGGCAGAATCACAGACTGCACCGCCTGCCCTGCAGGCTTTCATCACCGCTTGCAAGCAAGATTTCGCTCAACAAGAGCAACGTAGCAGGCGAAGAGGGCGGCAGCAAAAGCTTAGCGATGTTGCACGGAAGGTCTCTCCCGTCATTGTCGGGCCTGGGCTGCCACTTCCCGTCCATCTCTCTGGGTAAACCCTACTACAGCTACGATCAAACACGTCGTGGGCGCTGCGCACGCGTGTTGGAGTGCGGGTTGGGAGTTTTGGTAGATGGGACCTAAATGGACATAGGACTGAGGGTGGGGTTTCCGTGTTGAGCGAGGTTTTGATCAACGAGTCCCCAAGGTTGCGTTTCACGACGAAGCAGTTGATGTTTCTGCTTTTAATGGCTTGTGTCCCGCAAGGGCCAAGCGCTGGCAAAGTCAGACTTCACACCCTGTTCAGGTAGGTCAGCTGGCTTCCCGACTTCTGGATCAGGGGCTTTTGCCTTTGAAGGAGGCGTTGATTGACTCAGTCAGTACAGCGAGCGAAGCTCACAACATCATCAGATCCCAATCTAAGGCGCTCTTCATGTGGTTCATCTCCCTGCGCACGCTGCCGGGCACCGGAACTTCCGACCCTTCAATCGTCGAAACCTGGCACAAATGGATTCAGCCTCGGCCTTGTCTAGCTTCTGAATCTTTGCGGCAAGGACCGGCTGTGGTCGATCATGCCCTGGCTCTATGCTTGGCAATGGTTCGCTGCTTCCTGTATGCAGGGCTTCAACAGCCGTCTGCTTATTATGGCTGTGCTCTCTAGCAGCTTGACCTAACGAGAATCACCAGCTACTCGTACCGACAGCCGCGCTGCCGGGCAGCTGTTCCGTTTCGCTCTCGTTCGCACTGGCTCAGGTATCTGGGGCTTCCGCTTGACTTACAACTTCTGGATCAAGGGCGGCTTCAGTGGTGGTGAGGAAAATAATTAACTAACGCATTCCCAAACTGTCTAAACATGCACCTGTAAGGATCACACTTGCAGCTGATGTCTTATGTTTGGCAAGGACTATCGCTGGGCAGTCGTGCGCCGATGGTATCCAGGTTGGCAGTGGGAGGTTTTCAACCTCCTCTTTATCTGCCTCTTCCAGCAGCATCTGGACTGAACGCGTGCACGAAGTGATAACTTGAAGGGCTGGCTGTAAATACCCAGAATGCCACAGCACAATGTAGCCAAATTGCTGCTATGACATGTTGCGAGATCAGGTGCGCGATCCTGGCCTTTACTGTCCCAGCAGTTGCAGCGCTCCAATCGGACGCGCCCCTGACCTGGCTGGACATGGTGGCAATGTGTTTGTACTTGCTCCTTTGCCTGGGTGAGGCCAGGGCATGAGCTGCCAGTGCCCCGTTAATGCATCGTCGTGTTGGGCGTCTTTGCATTTCGTTTGCATTCTAGGAACTGGGATGCTCCGAACAGACTTCCTGTAGAATTGTGAGATGCCCGTGCTTCTGAAAAGAGGCCATCGCAGACGCGCAAATGTTTGCATTCCAGACGGAGAAGTACCGCCGCAGAGCGGCGGGCGAAGAGATGGGAGTTTACGGAAAAGGATTCATCCAAAGCGGTCTCTGGGCCTGGTCGCGGCACCCCAACTACTTCTGCGAAGCTCCTCAGCTCGACAGTGTACTTCTGTGAAAATGTGGGGGGTACCATCTAGCACCATCGCGGAGCCTGAGGTTGCGATGTGGTGGGTCTTCTACCTTTTCAGCATCATGGCCAATTAAGCAGCTAAGCAGTTCCTCACCAGAATCATCCGATTCAATTTGCTGTTCGAACCCGACGAGCCCGATGTTCCGGCAGGCATACCTGCTACCGGAAAGACGGTCAACTGGACCATTTTGGGACCCCTCTTCTTGAGTGGGCTGTTCCTGATACCTGGGGCATCTCTGGATATAACGGATGCTTGGCCCGAACTTGGAAGTCACTCAAACGAGTTGTTGCCTTTGCGGATATCTGCTGACTTGCTGCTTGCATAGCTGCAATGTGCCTCTTTTTTGCGGTACTTCATTCGCAGAATTGAAGACCATGGACCTCTGGCGGGATATTCTGTTCTGACAGCTTGCAGTCAGGAAGCGCTTTCCTCCAGCAAGTACCCGGAGTACGAGCGGTACAAGCAGCAAGTCAGCAAGTTCTTCCCACTCCCCCCGCGGAGGAAGGAAGGCTTGCTGGCTGAAGCTTGAGCTTCTAAGCCGACCCAATATCCAAGCTTAGGAGTTACCTTAAGTATGCTTTTGTGAAGCATCCATGACACCATCGCACATCCAACGCCCCTGAGGTTGAGTCGTGGAGAGATGCCTTGGAGAAAAAGCGCGTGGACCGCTTTCGGTGTTTGTCGCTGCTGCACCTAAATGTTGCTTACTGGTCAAACCAGATTCAGCAGTCATCGAAGCCATTGAAGCTCGAAACTGGCACTTCAACTTGTCTTCCATTTCTTGGACATGGCGAGAAGTCCGATGATGCAGCTGGCTTTGCTGGTGCTGTCCTTGCGGATTGTAGGCCAGCCGGCATTCTCGCCCTGCACATGATGTTTGCAAGAACTCAGATGTCGACAGTCGGCAGGGTTTGCAGTTGAGTTTAGGGCTGAGTTCTCAAGGTAATGCAAGTTTAGGGCTTAGGGTCGAGGGATTCGCCTCAACCCTCGCTAAGCAGCCTGCCAAGAAACCCTGCAAAATCCGATGCATAGTTGTAGCCCATAGGACTAGGAGCACGGGGGCCTGACTTACGTGGGAAGGAAGTGAGAAAGAAAGCTTCTACAACCTTTTTGCATCAGGGGCCACACAAAGCAATCTGCAGAGCTTCACCGTGTTCTCGGATCCAATCTTCCTTCGCAAGGGCGAAGTACACAACCGCTCCTTGGCACTTTCCGAGAGGGAGGCAATTCTGCAGATCGCGCAGGCCGCTATTGAAATTACAACACATGCGGCACTCTTAGGATACGTTTATCCAAAGAAGCTGCCGGACGAGATTGTGCACCATGGCTGAAGATCATGCAGTCGATGTTCGCCCACGTTTCAGATTGATGGGCTGCGGCTTAGACAACAACAGGAGTAGCAGCAACAACAGCAACGACATCAGCTTTGGTGTTGCATCAGAGAGCTGTTCCGCCGTAGTGTCGGCAGTGCTTGTACCCGGTTTGGCACTAACTGTTACTAGCTACCGCAACTGCGGCTGTCTTGCTCCTGCTACTGCTACCGCTGCTGCTCCTGCTCTCTCCTCCTGTGAGCTGCTGCTGCTGCTGCTGCTCCTGCTCTCTCCTCCTACTGCTCCTGCTCCTGCTGCTGCTGCTGCTTCTCCTTTTGCTCTGCTGCTCCCGCTCCTGCTCCTGCAACTGCTACTGCTGCTGCATCAGGCAGAAATTTGCTGGCAAGACCATGCATCTGAAGAGCGTTGACCTCGACATTGTGCTGGTCAACAACAAGACCGGCGAAAAAGTGCCAGCGCCGCTCTACATGACATATAATCACCATCATGCTTTGCTGCTGGGAAAAACTGATGGCCTGATGAAGCTCCTGAGATGCAGCAGAGTGGGCTGTGAGACGCAGAAGTTAAGCACATATCCTGGATTGCCGAATCGTTATGCACCGCAGGTTGTACAACCATTCGAAGGACAAGGATCCTCTTGACCCACACTCGTCCCCTGATCAGACGGCCAAGCACCGTGGATGCGCGATGCAACTAGGCAATGGACAAAGAGGAGCTTCACCCGGGGGTTGCGATCGTAGTGCAGTCCTTCAGAAGTCAGCACTCATTGCCGGCGCTCCATGTGTGTGTGTGTGTATCTGCGTGTCATTCAGAAAGAGCGAGAACGATTCTGCACAGAGATTGCGCCGAGAGGGACGGGAGCCAAGGAAGCGCAAGTCCTTCGAAGCTCTCTTGGCAGCAGCGCTGCCGGAGTCTCAACGTGGCGACATCTCCGTCTTCGGAGGCACGGAAGCCTCGGAGAGAGCGATGATGGCCAGAGTCAAGCGGGTTTCTCCGCCGGCGCAGGAGCCAGTGGAGCCGAATATCGCGGAACCCCGAATCGATTGGCCGGACCTTACACGTGCCTCAGATGGAGGGCACTTAAGTGTCTAGCGGCTAGCGAATTGAGTGAGGCCTGGGCGAGGGTTTGTGCCGGTTTGCTGCTAGCTTCGTAGGTACGATGTGAAGAATCCAGAGAGCTTCATGGTCTTGATGCACTTCATCAACAGCCACGGCGTTCCTGAAGATCACAAACTGTGGGAGTGCCCCTGCACTTCGAGATCGAACATCAACGTGACGAACGGAACGATCGACGGCAAGAAGCCTATCGCCTTTCAGTGCTCTCAGCAGCTTCTGGACCAGGGGAACACCGGCTGCAGCCTGGCAACGTATGAGGGTGGATACAGATGCTGCGAGCATGGAGTCTTCTTGACTGAAGAGCTTCCCGGACCAGATTCGCCTGTGGACCAAATTGAGACCAAGTTTACTTTTGAGTACTACGAGCTTGATGCCCCGGAGACGAAGGTTGCGAGGCCGACGAATCAGCCATCTTGCTGCGATGCCACCGCCGGGTACCTGATAAATTCCTCTTCGCAGTTTGCAAGCCTCGAATATGACATCCCGAAATGTGCGGATGGCACACCGCCTGACCAGTGCGTCCATGTGATTGAGAGCGTCGAGTATTTCGATGCGGACGGGACGCATCATGGAGAGGACGAAGAGTTTGAGTTGGTGCATGCTTGGGGGCATCAGCATGTGGCTGGACTTGGCCTTGAGCTGTACCGAGTCTCAACCAACGAGCTGCTGTGCCAAACCCGCCCCAAGTACGGCACAGGCGTGCAAGCGGGCGATGAACGAGGATTTGTTGTTGGCATCCCGCCTTGCGTTTGGGGCCCACCTCCTCTGAGCCCACCTCCGAAGATTCGCCGATATGAGCATCTACGTACCGTCGCCAGGTACAATGCTTCTGAGAGGCATCATGGTGTCATGTCTTTGTGGCTGCTGACATCAGCCTCCCTCAAGCCTGGATCAGCCAGGGTCGAGTTTCAAATCTGAACGAGTTCCGCCATGGATTCAGAGGGATTCCCCCGTACAGATGGAGGAGTTCCTGAACTGTCTTTGTTGGAGGCTGCGCTGACTGCTTGAACACACAGATCGTCAACGAATAATACCTCAAAATCCCTATCATATATCCTATATATATAAAAGCACACTTATTCGTTAATAATGAAATAAATACATCCCAGAATGAATAATTATGACGATAAATCGAAATTTAATTGAAACTGCTTACTTATCGAGATGGGAAATGAGTTATTATATTAAAAATATATTGATTACAAATAGAACTTATTTTTCGCATATAATGTGTGCGGAAAAATATATAGATTTTCTTTGAATTATACCACAATGGAGCCGCTGTTTCTAATAATGGCTGCTAGGCGATTAACACATATTTGTTGATGTGTGGTGGTAAATCCTTTATCATGTGCGGTGAAATATGTGCGGTGAAATAAAATTTGTAATTATAATTTTAGGTAAGGTAGATATAAATGCATATGAATGGTAGGTATGGTTAATGATAATAATTTTAAGAATCTATTTTTAGAAATTTAATAAATCTTATATTTTATCTGTAAATATGTCAGTATGGATATATAGATGATATGATCTCGATCTTTTTCTTATTTGATATATTATTAAAGACGAAATACGATTGGATTTTTGTAGGTATGTTAAGAATTAGATTTGGATATATGGTATTATATTTAATATATTTTATAATTAATTGAATTATAATTAATTGAATATGTGCTTATATTTTCTAATTGATTTAGATTGTGATTATATTTTTTTAGGGGTCGTAAGTAATACTGGCAAAATATAATTAGAATATTTTTCTAAAATATTACAACTAATATATATATATAAGCATTAAGAATACATTATTCATTTAATTGGTATATGTGTTTATATGAGAATTGGATTAGGATTTTAATTGGTTTCGATTATATTATAATCGTAATGAGGAATAGGTAGCATGATTTAGGAGATTTGTGTCGAAATTCGGAATAATTAGATGAAAGATTCTTTTAGATTAAATAATTTATTACATGCAGTCATTATTATATATTTATATTCTTCTATTTGAGGTTTTCACGAATTATTTTGAATATCTGGGCGAATGATTTATAATCGTATTATATTTTATTATGTTCTTCATAATATAGACGGTTTCTGATAACAATCGAAAAGTCAAATGCTACGAAGATTATCGGAGATCGCATCATAATTCTCGAATCTATGATTTAGAATCTCCGTACGATGATATCGACATGAATATCTGCGATAGATTCATCCCTTTTTGTTTGGCCTCAGGAATTATATTGATTCATGCCAAATCTTGCGGAGAATCTTGATTACTGATATATTTTATTGGCCAGCCCAGGAGATCCAAAATTTAATGATTAGATTTTTTTTGAGATGGTTTTTCAATTTTATTCCTCAATAAATTTATAAATATTCTCTTGTGGCTGGCTCGCTCTTCGATTAAGATTACATATATAGATTTCTTTTCTGATCTGGATTGAGAATATCCGAATTCATCTATATTTTTCAATTATAGATCTGTCAGGAATATCTTCCAAGACCTGCTCAGAAGATATGCAAAGATTTTTTATCATTGTTGAATCTGAGCGAATCCTAATCAGATCCGACCACAAATGAATCTCGAAATTTAGCAAGATCATATTTCGATTAGTGTAATATTAAGATTGGACGAGAAATTCGAATTCTCGGGTAGTATAATCTTTCTCTTCTTTATTCTCGGATAATATCTACCACGATTTTATAAGATAATTTGAATAATGATTTTGAGATAGCATTGGGGAGATAAATTCCCTCCAATAATATATCGCTTTATGACAAAAAATATAGATCCATAAGCTATATTAATCTGTATTTCGATTTAGATATCTTTTAAGAAAATTAATTCCTTAGATCAATATTTTTAAGAGATAGATATCTTCTAGACCATAATTTCAAATTTAAGATTAATCTAAAATTTATTTGCCACAGAAAAGAAGGCATTCAAATAAATTGTTTAATAAAATTAATAATACCTTATTATAAGCCTCTTATCATCATCGAGATTTCAATGTTTTAATATATTTTTTCAAATGAATAAAATTCTTAAAATCGTTATCATCATTTATTTAATCATAATCAAACAGAAAAAATTATTCTATCCAGAAACTAAAATTAAGACGAATATACCAATAATCATCTTCTTTATATCCGATATTTATCGATATATCTAAATTACAAATTTATTTCGAATAAATAGATAATTCAGATAAAATCTCGGGCCAAGAAAAATAATAAAATTAGAAGATAATCTAGTAAATATATTATTATAATTTTAGAATAATATTTCTCAAGAGCTCCAGAAAACAAGATACGAGATTATAGAATAACTATATATATATATATTATAGAGCGCATCAATTCCTTATAAACAACTAATCGAAATTAAAATCTAATATTATCTAGATATATCAAATATTCTTCTATTTAAGATATGATTATAAACTATCTTACGATTGCCAAAAAATAAAGCAGGACTATAAATAGATCTATAATCATGAATGATATCCCAGATAAAAAATAACAATGATATTGAAAATCAAAACCAAAAAAGCAAATTCCTCAGAACAATCCACTAATACTAATAATATTCAGAAAGTACCGTCATCACCTCGAGAATCAATTTCGATCTCTGTTTCACTTCACTCCGCCTTGCTTCTTGCGGAATTCACGAAAAGCAGCATCTTGCACGCGATCTGCTGATTCCTTCTTGCACCTGGCTGTCATGTCCGATCTTGAAATCAGCATGTGTTGTATCCAATTCGAGCCGCACGTAGCCTCTCTCTGTCTTGCTTCTGAATGTCATCTGCGTCTTCTTCCGGAGCAGCGTTGTTGCCCTGGCGCACGGCAGTGCGCTATGTATGCCGCCTAGAGGCTCTGCTGCTCTGCGCTGTTTGGGTCTCTCCGCCAGCCTGGCGAGAAGGAGGCCGGCCAGCGTCCAGAGACTTCGGCACGCGGCAATTCGCCTCAGCTTGCTCTGTCTACAGGGCCTGGGGCCTGAAGGTTCGGGGCCTTGGGGCGCAGGCCTTTAAGAAGTCCTTGTCTGTAAGCAGCCGGCGTGCCTGAAGACGTGCGTCTGCAATGGCTGCAATTCCCCACTCTCCTGCCCACCTCTTGAGACTCTTTGCTGCCGGCTTGAGACATGTTCTTCCGTTGTACCTGGCTCACAGTGCTTGGGGAGGAACCTTGCTAGCCTGCCGTGCATTCAACCCATATCGCCTTGCCCGAGGAGATGAGCTGAGCTATGTTCTGGACGAATTTGTCGACTGCACGCTGCATCTGGTTGTAGAATACCTGAAACCAGGTGTGTTCGCAGGTGCGAACTGCAAGTGTTTGGAATCCGTCTGGAAGCAGCGCCACGTGCTCAGGCAATGGCGGGAAGATCAGACGCTTTCTCCACACGCTGACAGTCCTCCCACAAACTCGTCAGGGTCAGAGGTTGCATGCTTCGGGTTGGGAGACGGCGAGTTGGTGTGGGGCTTACTGTGCCCGAGAGTGGCCATCATGGTCAGAGAGAGCCTCGAAATTGTTGCCAACCAAGGCTGTTGCACTCGATCGCACATCGTAGCTTCACATTCTTGCATGCCACTCCGAAGTTGCACCCGAAACCATAGGCAGGTGCAAGCGCCCTCATACCGCCGTCCTCAAACATTGCTAAAGATCTGCCCATGCGATTGGCCCAGCGTTTCATGTGCTCCACCTGAGGGCAAGCCATCGCTGCAGAGACTTGGAACATGCAATGCGGTGCGGGCTTTCGGGCGCAGCCTGCAACGTGCTCTGCTGGAGCTTCTCACGGCTTTGCTCATGCTCCTACGCATGACATTCGCTCGGAAACGACTTCGGCTGGACAGGGGAGCCAGCTTCTTTGTCGCTCCTTTTGGAACAAGTTGAGCTTGGCTTCGTGCTCCTCGACCTTCGAATTTCCGGGAGTATGGCTGCAGGCTGCATGACGGCTGCAGACAGACATGGAATGCCTCAAGGTAAATGGCACGGGACTTGCCAGATGTGTCCGTGTCAAAGGTGATGCCTGGGTTGAGCGCCAAGTTCTAAGTTGCCGCGGTCGAAGCGCACGGATGCCAAGACTGCCTAGCTTGAAGCTTGGCCCTTCACCTTCTGTATCGCGCTTGAAGCGCTCGAACTGCTCGCGCAGATTGTCCAAACGGACCTTTCTGACTAAATCGGCTTGCAAGTTCTGCCTGAGTCTGAGGGTGTGCCAGCATTGAGAGGCAGACCTCTGCTTCTTTGACGGAGTTCTTCAGCTGCTCATGTTCTACGTCTCTGTTCAGAAACCTGCACTGGAAGGCTGTCACTGGCTGTTACCGCACTTGCAGCACCGGCTTAGGCAAACGAGGTGCTTGTGAACAATGTCCATGACATCTGCCAGGCCAGTCACCTTTGCGAGAGCTGTTCCAACCCCGCACTCCAAGTTTCCTTTCCAGCCTCGCGGATCTTCTGAAACCCATCCTCGGTGTTCTGCGAACGCTCCACCTTGCAATGGCCAGCTCCAGATGCAGCAAGTGCACAGTTCACGGCGCTGCTGCCTGCTCGAAAGTCACCTTCTGCAAGCAGTTTCCTGCCAGCTTCTCCACCTGGCAGGAGCTGGCAGGGACCGGCGCCGTGGCCTTCGCCCATGTTTCCAGCCGGCTCTGCTGCATACAGTTTGCGAAGACGGCCGGCGGAGGCATTGAAGGCTTCGTTGGCCGCATCCAGGGCGATCTGCGCAGGTCGACCCGAAGGGCACTGAGCAAGAAACACACCAGCCCGAGGCCCTTCAAGGCGCCGACCTCATGGCGCCACCACTCGAACTTTTCCCGGCGTTGCTTTGCATCGATTTTCGCCTACATCGGCTTCACTTCGAAGCCGTTTGACTGTCTGCATGCTGCATGCAAGAGCCTGCAAACATGAATTCATCTTGGCCAGCGCTTCATCGCGTACCTGTCCAGGGTCAGTGTAGCCGCGGCGCCATGAGCAAGCAGGAATTGGAAGGCTAGAAGGCAAGAGTGCAGAGCTGCAGGGCAACAAGGCACCACCCTCTCGTGCTCAACGTCTTGCTCCAGAATGTCAAGGTCCTGCAACATGCAGACAGTTATCGTCAGCTTCTGTCAATCAGCGAGCACGGGTCCTGCGAACACTGAGCCCCTTTTCGAACCAGACGTTCCTGGACCGCAACCTGCACAAACTCGAAGGCGTTCGGACAGCCAATCGACACCACTCCCGGACCGAGCCTTTCTCCGGGACTCGGAGTTCTTTCTGTGCAGATGTGCCTCTGGTGTACAGCAAAGTTATACACTCTAGACTCTATACGCTTTTCTGCCACTGCCTCCATGAGGACAAGCTTCTCTTTCAGCAACGACTGCTCCTTTGTGATCCTGCCAGGTATGGGAGTTACAAGCATGTCGGAGGTCAAGGCGACCCAGAGTGCCTGCCTTTCGCACATGTGATTGTACACCTTCTTGCATGTCTTGGCCTCATCGAGTGCCTCGAAGTGCTTTTATTTGGCTGTGGTTTGCTTCATTCACCGTCGATATTAAGTATTGCACTCCGCGCTTTTTGACGATGTCATACCATTGCTGTTCGATCGATTGGTATGAGTCCTGCGAGGCGTAGCGCGCTCAAGGACTTGCATTCCTGGCGCTGCTGTATCCTCCTTCTTGGATGACTCGTCGGCCCCATAGCCGTGATTTCGATCTGCAGCCCGGATCTGCTCCCGAAGTGTGGCGATCTCAGCCTACAGCTCTTGCATTTGCGTTGATGTCTCGACAGGCCCGAGACGCCCACCTCCCGACGTTCAGCTTCGAGATGAACCTGATCGTACTGGGCACGGACGTCCGCCAGGATTCGTCGAACTTCCTGAGACATACGGGCACTTGAAGCTTGAAGGAGGAAGGAATCATTGCCGTGGTAAGTACATGGGCATGAACTGACATGCACGGCATGATGTCCTCCACAGCCGTGTCATCGCCAGACTGGAAAGCACCCTCGCTTGCGCCGGTCTATGTAGTCTATGTCAAAACTTAAAAAGCAACATATGTGCAACACTTCACGAAGCTTCCCACCTCGGTTCTTTCCACCAGCTTGAGGAAATCTGTGTTACGGCTTCCTGCCAGAGACGCCTGCAAGTAAGCCAGAGTTGACACACTACGCGCATGCATTCGAAGTTTGCCTTGAACCTCCTGGCAGCATTGCCGCTTCGAGCCACAAGCTTGCCTTCCCTCGGCAGCGAAGTGTCACTCTGCAGATTGGTGGATGGAAAAAGAGCAGATAGCAGATTGCACTAACACATCCCGAGGACCCTTCAACGAGCGCAGGGCTACGCTGCCGGAACCGTGGAATAGTGTTCGTGGGATATAGCACGAGCAAGACAAGGCAGGAGGAACCAAAGAAGCAGCACCACCAGATCAGCATCGGCAAACTACCCGATCAGCAGGTTTCTGGAATGCCGAGTTCGAGGCCTTGACATGATGAAGTGCACGTATTGCACTCTCCCGAGCTTTGAGCTTTGAGCCGAGAGAAATGCCTCGCAACCAAACGCTGAACATGTTCATTCTGTAAAGAGGCTATGTGTGTGGTGTCATGTGCATACCAGAGACACGCCATGTTGTTGCGGAACATCTGCGACAAGTCAGCTTCACCCTGGCGATTCGGGCGATTTCTTGGTCCACTGTGATGCGTGTCAACACGCACAAAATGGCTTTCGCAAGCATGTATGAAACAGCTTCAAGTCCCCAAAGTCGCTGAACCCAGTGTCTCATCTATCTGCGATCATAGAGAACCTCAGTTTACTAGAAGATGAGAAAAGATGTCGGGGCTGGTGTCTGAGATACCTTCACCATTCCACTCGGCCACTGTTGGGAAAAGTCTGCTATGGGGGTGTTGCTTCACACCACTTTGCGAGTATCTGTCGAACCCTAGTACTGCAGAGTTCTTTCGATTCACTCTGCGAAAATAGATACCCTCCATGCAGATTTAGGTAACCATCTCGGGTATGCAAATGTGTGCTGAAGTAACACCACAACAATATCTGTGTCCAGGCTGATCCTGAGATGATCGAGGTCCTACTCTAAGCGTGCATCCATAATAAGAAGAAACATCGGCAGATATCACATTCGACTAGTATGTGTAGGCTCGCTGTCATATGTTCATTTAACTGTTTGCCTGTGTGCAGAGGTGCACCCTTACTTTCTCTGCAAAATACAAGCAAGTTGTGCGATATCCAATATCTCCAACCTGCCAGGTCACTGGGACCCAAGATGTCCATGAGAACGCGCAAGGTCTTTTACGTCAGTTCTACGCGAGTCAGGCCTCAAAAAGGCGGTCTGCCCACTACCAACTGAACTTGCCAGTTGTGTCCGTAGGACCCATGGGACGCAACCTGCCCATGAAACGAATAGAGACTGCATGGTCGTTCTCTTCACTGCGGATCCATGTCCTGTGAAAGAGCTGAATGGACGGTGAAACACGTTCTCCACAATTGGGTTTGGCAAAAGGGTGCAAGTTGCGGACTTGGGAACGTTCTGCGCTGCGCAACTGCAGTTTGTCTGATCTTCAAGTTGCCGCAACTGGCCCGCATAAGTGACCTGTTGTTAGCTCGGAAAAACAAGTCAAGTTCGTACAGCAACGACTCCGTGGGATCGCTTTCCCGGCTGCTTAGGCAAGCGGGGAACGAGGTGGATCATTTATGTGCCAATGCCGTGCACAGAAGTCTCCTGAACATGCGGATAAGCTGGCATATGCTGGCATCCTATCTCTGAGTTCAGCGAGCTGGCTCGCCCGCAGTTTGTGCATTATTTTGGCTTCTTGCGCTTGGAGATCTGTGCAGAACACATCAAGCTAAATCTTGTGCCTGGACTGTAACTGTGACGAGCTGAAAATTGACTGCGAACTGTTCGCATCGAATATGTATCTGGCCCGGCCTTAGTGCGACTGGGCGACATGCAACAGTTCTGAGCTTGAACTATATCCTCAGGAGTGCAATCTGCAGGGGCACAAGGGAAGATACGCTGCATCATGAGTCCGGTGTCCAATGTGATTTCAGTATCTAGCAGAAGACAGTTTGAGTAAGCCTGACGTTGCATGTCATGCCAGAGCTTTGTCAGGTGGGGCCATTGCCTGTGTAACTTGCATGGCGCAGTAAGACCAGTTGATACAGCCAAGTTCTCATCGAACGAACAGGGTTTGTACAGCGTAGCATCTACAACACCTGTGCTACACGAGGGGTGCTGACCCGGCCTTTACCCATCAGCTCATGCAGACCTCGAAGCTGAACTCAGCACCAGGCTACTTCGCCAACGGTGCCAAAAGCTCAACAAGATGCACCTGGAAAATCCGGGCGATGACGACTTGTCTTCAACGTTGCTCTCTACTAACGAGCTCTTGCAGATCCCTAGCCAGACTTCTCAACTACCACTGACCAACGACTTTTTGCTCGATCGCATTGCAGAGACTTCTAAATCTATGGCCAATGGCCAGTGGTCGGAAGGCCACGACCAGCAGACCAGTGATGGCAGTGGCCCAGCCTCTGAAGCGGTGCGATGAAAGTCTATCCCAAACAGAAGCACCCGGTGCTTCCTGTTTGGCGCGCGTTGGGTCATGGGAGGGGCCCTCGCCCCTGCCTGCATGCCGTCGGGGAGCTCGAGCTCCTCCCGCTTCGGCAGCCGCAGCCGCCGCAGGCGGCACTTCTGGAAGTCCGGGCCTCAACAAGGCAAACGGCGCTGTCCGGAGATGAGGCACTGAAGAAACCAAACAGCCGACTGTGGAAGCAGCTCAGCCAAATGTAGTCGATGCAGCCGTCGAAGCCTTCGTGCGAGTCAAGTACGACAGACAGCGAGGTTGTCTCCTTCGGTCTGAGTCTCAGTCCATACTTCGAATTGCTGAGCACTTTCTGCGTCTCGGCACCGCTTTGCGGCTCCACGTCCTTCATGGACAACTTTGGGTTGAATGGCTGGTGAGGCTAGTGAAGGACAGACGACGACTCAGGTGATCCTCGTAGGCCGATCTCAGGTGCCATTTCTGCTCCAGCCCTGGGGTTGACATGCTCAGTTGCAGGCACTACAAACGAAGGGAACAAACAAATGAAAAGTCGGGGGCACAGTGAAGATATTTGCGCGATTTCCACAGTGCAGTTTACTCTTCCAGATTTTGAGGCGAGGACAGACGCATACAAGTGTTTATATCCATGATATGCATGTATGTATGCATGCATGCATGCATGTACGTATGCACGTATGTTCGTATGTATGCATGCATGCACACAAGCATGCATGTATGTTCGCGTGCATACCGGACAGAGATGCAGGCATCACCTTTCATGGGAGGTAAGCAGCAAGCAACGCCGACAACAAGGTGCTTCGAGCATAAGTGACGACACCGAGCAAGAACGATGCAACTCAAACATCAGGTTGCAATACGCAGGCAAGAGGCCGAAAGGAGCAAGCAAGAACCAATAGACACAAACTTAAACTCAAACCCTAACTAAACCGATACTGTGGATCGAAAAACACGAAACACGAGAAGCAACTCAGCGAAATGTGACCGGCAAGAGTACCAAGGTCCTGCATACACAGAGGTCAACAAGAAAATGCTCCCTAGACCCGCAGAAGCTGTCAAAGACTAAGCATCTGAAGACAAGCACCTCAGGATTCCAACATCAGGAGGAAGACCCAACAAGGGCAGTATTCAGAAAAGTAGCCAAGCTCCAAAAGGCCAATAATCGGTAATTGCAACACGTATATTACATCCTCCCTTCCCAACGGCCCGCCCAGCATTTACCGGCGGGAGGGGGGGGAGGGGGGGGGAGGGGGGAATTTTTTTTTCGGCAATTGGTCCTAGTTTTATTTACATGACCACTACCGTCCCCAGTACAGGAAACAGTACAAAGTAGGAGGAGGAGTACGAACTCGTCGAATTGGAGCCCACTTAGGAGCACTCCTGGCCTCATTAGCGGTCGAAACTTGGGGGCCTAGGGCCTAGGGCTTAAGAGCTAAGTGCTGTCAACAGCCCCTAAGGCCTAAGGGCTGACAGGACTCAGGGATGGGAACGTAAAGCATCTTCCCGGTTTCTGTAGCCGGCTAGGAGTTTAAAGAAGCCCGGCCCTGTGATGTGGTCAGTCCGTACCGAAATGTGATGCGTTAAGCCGTTAAGATGTGTTGAGCTCCTTTCGCAAAAGCTGTTGCCATTCCCAAGACTGTTTCAGAGCAACAGGAAGCTCAGGCGATAGGACCGCAGGAACGTAAGACTGCAGCGGACGGGTGCAGCTACAGGAACCCGGGATTGCAGGCTGCATACCAATAGCCACAGGAACGGGGGCCTGCAGGTCGCAGGAGCCGGGACGTACAAGTAATCGGTCCCACATCCAAATTTGGCGATTAAGGGGCCGGGGGGAACCTTGAATCATCTTGAAACATCCTTGCATATTTGGGGGTGGGGAGGGATTAAAACAAAAAACGGACCGAGCGGCTGCCACCCCCGTCTCGCAAGAAGCGCTCGGCTGAGGTGCCCTCAACGTGGGCGGGTGCTGTGGATCGCAATGGGTTGCAAGCTCATGATGTTGCGATGATGAGATGTTTACGACCATCAAAGATATGGTGACGACTTAAGAAGTTGCATTCGCTTCTGCTGCTGTGCTCGTGGTTGCGGCTGCTTCTGCTGCTGTTGCTGGCCTCTTCTTCGTGTCTTTCGCCTTGGCGGTGTTGCTTTGGAGCTGGCTTCTGCGATCTGTCATTGTTGTTGCTGCTGTTGCTGCTGCATGAGGGTCATTGGTCATTTGTCGCAATCGCTACTTCGTGGCCTTTGTTCTCAGTGTTTTGTGATGTGTTGCGTGATGTACGTTGTGGTCTCATGACACATGGGGCGGTGCCTCTCCGTCGAGGGAGTTGGACTGACCTGGCCATCTTGAATCGAATGAACACTTCGTGCTGCAAGAAGCCATGCCTGGCCTGTCTGACGGAGCTCCTCCACCATCTCCACAAGCCTATCAACCTTCAATGGCTTCAGAGTCACGGAGCCAGCCAACAAACTTTTCCCCGCAGCCTGCCGCCTGGCTCGCGCTGAAGCGCTTCCTTGGTCCTGGTGAGGGATGCCCGTGCAACCACAAAAACTGCAATGTCTTGTAACTTGTACTTGTGTTTTGAACTGGGTCGGCCTAACTGGAATTCTGGGGCCCTGTCTCGGATTGCGGATGGATTTCGGACCGGAAGTGCAAAACAGAAGGGTTTCGTAATGTGCTGCCTGCAAGGGCCTCGGTTGTACACAAGCGGGTTTTCGGCGCCAAATCAACATGTTTTGGTTCAGTTTTCGCAAGCCTTCCCAAACCGAGCGTCCCTGCCGCCTCTCCCCTCTGCACATCAGCATCGCTTCGGCAAGCGCTTTCTGTCCCACCTGTTCTCCCCTTCTTCTTCGTCTTCTGCCCTGTCTCTTTCTTTCGCCAGGGCTATGATGCAGGGGGAACCCCCCTACGTCTCT